ATCCTTTGATGATGATCTCTCTCGTCGATTAGTTTTCATAGCTTTCTAATCTCTCTCATAACTTTCATTCTCTCAAACTCAAAACACTCGAAAGATCTTTACACTAGCTTTTAGCGTAGTGCAGTATGAATGAAACAGTCGTGCAGCAGCGATTCAAAGTAGTTCGCAGCATACAAAAGGAGCTTGGATTCCAGAGCAAGCTGTCAATTCAAGCTTCGTTGGATCACCTCATCTCGACTCTCGACGCAAAAGATGCCTTTGGACCAGTATCAAAAGAGGAGGGTGGAGTCCTTCACATCGGCACTCCCTGCGACAAGGGCATTGTCCAAGGACATGAATGGCTATCGTACGCGGGTGTGACGATGCAGCAAAACCATGTCGAATCAGCACTCGAGAAAGTGACCAAGAGTCTGGAGAAAGGTGGATTCGAGCAGTTCCCTAACCATTTTATGCACGGAACAACAGGAAACAGATTGCAGCTGATATGCGAACTCAAGGGGAAAATGAACCCATCGATGTCAGACGAGGAACATGACTTTGGGTCAGGTCTCTATTGCTTCAAGGGAAGTCTTGCCAAGGCGCTGTCCTTTGGAGTCGACAGAGCTTGGCCACGTCCAGACGGTGCTGGAGGTAGCAATCCTGCTATCGTCGTCTTCCCAAAACTTCATGGAGATTTTGACGAGGAAACAATCTACCACGTCGATTCGATTCTTCCATTTGGACAAGATGGATCCGGAATTAGAGATGAAGACGATTGTGCAGCATACAAGGCGATGTTGGATGACGCAACGTACAAGGATAAGAACAGAAACTGGAAGCTTTTTGTGAAAATGGCAAGACGCTTTTTCATTGTGCCCAATAAGCAAGGTGTCCATGTTTTTCATGGCTTGCTGCATGACTGTGACACTACTTCAACCACTGACGTGGATACGGTCACTGCGCCAAAGCCAGACGACGACTGGAATCAATATTGCTTCAAGGATGTTTATTTGCTCGGGAAAAGCAGGCTTTTTATTGAATTTCACATGGAGTGGGGGGGATGGGCCGACTCGGACAAGTCTCGTTTTGAATTTGATAAAAAGATGACAGAAGCAAACACCGATGAGATGGAAGATGATGGTGGAATTGAAACAGGTGTTCACCACGGTACCCTTGAGCCTCAGTCGAGCCCACCACCAAGAGCCTCAACTCAACAGGACGACACATTTTTCAACCTCCAAGAAACGTGGACATTGGCAAAGTTCTACTTCCCTGGCATCGTCCGAGGCGATTCTCCTGAAGGATTCAAGTCAACGAGGCTAATCAAAAGGTCCCTACGGGATGAGGTTGAATGGAAATTGTTCCAGCTGAAGCAAAAAGACCAAGACAATTTTTTGGAATTGATGAAGCCGGAGAACGCGGCGACACTTTGTGGCAAGATTGGTATGAATGAAACAGTCGTGCAGCGGCGATTCAAAGTAGTTCGCAGCATACAAAAGGAGCTTGGATTCCAGAGCAAGCTGTCAATTCAAGATTCGTTGGATCACCTCATCTCGACTCTCGACGCAAAAAATGCTTTTGGGGCAGTATCGAAAGAGGAGGGTGGAGTCCTTCAGATCAGCAAATTCAATGGCACTCTCCACGACAAGGGCATTGTCAAAGAACATGAATGGCTATCGTACGTGGGTGTGACGATGCAGCAAAATCAAGTCGAATCGGCACTCGAGAAAGTGACCAAGAGTCTGGAGAAAGGTGGATTCGAGCAGTTCCCTAACCATTTCATGCACGGAACAACAGGAAACAAATTGCAGCAGATATGCGAACTCGAGGGAATAATGAACCCATCGAAGTCAGACGAGGCACATGACTTTGGGTCATGTCTCTATTGCTTCAAGGGAAGTCTTGCCAAGGCGCTGTTCTTTGGAGCCAACAGAGCTTGGCCACGTCCAGATGGTGCTGGAGGTAGCAATCCGGCTATTGTCATCTTCCCAAAACCTGATGAATTTGACGAGGAAACAATCTACCGCGTCGATTCGAATCTTCCATTTGGACAAGATTGATCTGGAATTAGACTTGAAAAGCCTAGTGCAGCATACAAGGCAATGTTGGCTGACGAGACGTACAACGATAAGAACAAAAACTGGAAGCTTTTTGTGAAAATGGCAAGATGCTTTCGCACTCTGCCCGATATGCCAGGTGTCGGTGTCTTTCATGGCTTGCTGCATGACTGTGACGCTAATTTAGCCACTGAATTGGACAAGGGCGCTGCGCCAAAGCCAGATGACGATGGCTGGGATCAGTATGGTTTCAAGGATGCGGATTTGCTCGGAGAATGCAGGCTTTTTATCGAATTTTACATTGATTGGGAGCACTGGGACGACTCGAACAAGTCTCGTTTTGAATTTGATATATGACAAAAGCGGCCTTGAAAGTTGACGATGAAGCTCGGGCCCGGAAGAGACATGTAATGGAGGCGGCGGCAGAAGGGCCCTATTAGTAGATGACGGCGACGATACTTTAGTGCGAGACGAGAGTGGTGAAGACTTCTTCTGACACTGATGGCTATGGGCCTGGTGCAATTGCCCTTACATTGCTGCAAATGTTCAACAACAACATCCTGTCGAGACTAATGAAGAGGACGACGACAAACAAACTGCCAACACCAGTCAGTTGTTGTCGAGACTGTTGTAGAGGACGACGATGACATTGCAGCGGAGGAGGAGACGGCGACTATAGCTTGACAGATATATATATATATATTTATAGTGTTTCCGTTTTTTAGACATGTCAGGCCTTGTAGCCCAAAGCGCAATGAATTACATGGATCTAACCTGCTGGTACCGGTACGCAGCTGTCTTTTGTCAAGCCTTGTGCTTCATATATGCATCACAGAGATTCCCCGTCGCCGTTCATAGTTTTTCCAAGGAGACAATGTCTGCTTGGCACAGCGTACTCTCCGATGTCCATCCTGGTCTCTAGAGAGTCTCAAGATTGGGAGTCCACTGCATCAGGGTACTTGCACTTCTGCTGCTGACGGTGGAATCTTGAAGTTGTAATGGATCTCGTAGCAACTGCTTGATCTGTCCGCGGGATATGCATACGGTACACGGAGATTTTGGCGGTAGCTAGATGCATTAGCCAGGACTTGCTCTTTCCTCCGAGGAATTCCTTCCCGATACTAAACTTTCACACCTGCCCTTTCTAGCTTGCTTTAGGCGCCATCGCTGAAGCCCTTCGAACCTGGCAACACATGCAGCAGCAAGCTACGATACCCGTTCCTTGATGTGGATCGGGTCGTATCTGGCCGTTGGCGAGTTCGGAACAACGACTGCTGTGGTCAAGTGTTGGCGACGAAGCACGACCTAGAATATTTCTTGGTACGATTTTTACGTGATGCTACCGTGGTGGGAATCGAATCGACGAAAGTGAAATGACTGCCTGTTGAAAAAGCAGAAAGCTCACAGTTCCAACAATTTAAAGCTCGATAGCACACAGCAAAGCCCAACAGCAAACAAGAACACAATAGTAACATCTTCCACCTTATTTACTTATTTCCACGCAAAATGACCTACTCGTACTTCAACGCCAACAATACCAACATGACTGCCCCTTCCTCCGTCCTCTCGGAAAACCAACATCCAATGACCTTCCACCCAACACCCCCCGCCACCGGTTGGATGACGGAGAAAGCGTCCCGCCCGCTTCAAGAAGCCAAGCCCCAGCAGCAGATGCGCGTCAGTCGCAAGAGGTCTTCTTCGAACGAAAATGACAGTCATCATCATCAGCCCCAAGAACAACAGTGGATTGCCGCTCAGCCTCTCCATGACTACAACACTACCAGTGCTCCCAATAAAAGACGCAGGGGACTCACCGACGCAACCACGGCAACCATCAATCACCCATTTCCCGCTACTACAATGACTAATTCTACTTTCTACTGGAGATCCAACTAAGAAAGAGAAGCTTGGCGGGCTGGATCGTGATGTCGTTTGGACCAGCCACACAGCAGTTCGGCAGCTCCGGAACAGTTAGTATGACAATTGGGATATCGGTTCCATTGCATAGCAGGGAAGACACATATAAGTATGGCAGATTCGATTCCATAAAAAGTTGCATAATCAGTACTAGTTCTCAGATTCATAAGATACATCATGCTACTTATATTCTAGCTAGTCTACAACCACAAGAGCCGACAATTTTCCACGAGTTTCTGGTCTACCGTGCGTGAGGCTCATCTTTGGTTTCCTCTGCGGCTCTTCTTCTGTTGTATTGAATCGGAAACCCATGTGGTCGAGCCAGCGAAAAGGAGCACATGTGGACGAGCTAGCTAGGAATGAACGGTTTCTGCTGCAGCGCCTACTGAACTACAGTACCAATGGCCTGCGAGCAATATAATATCAAGTCCATGGCTGAATAAAACTACTTGTTAATGATGATAGCGTCAATCCGCTGTGTGCGTGCCTGTCCACATCCCATTTGCACCAGCCTGGACGTACCGGTACTGTAGCCATTCTCTTGTCATGCACTCAATTTTTGTCATCATTTCTTTGTTTAGTGTTTGCTTATTATTTCTTTCGACAAATAGTGACACCATCGGCAATGGTCAAAAAGCTAACTCGATCGATGCGACTATCGTTGTGAATTTTGTGTGCCAATTGTTGAATGCATTTGGTATCGTGCATTTTCCGGGCCAACATGGCCGCGTCCGACGTGTCTTCTTTCGTGTGTGCCGCCAATGTGTCGACAATGTCGGCGGGAAGCACGACCCTACCACCCCAGAGTGTATTATCAACGACAATGAGTCCTCCCGGTTTGGTGAGTTGGACGCACTTTTCGTAGTAGTCATCGTAGGACTCTTTGTCGGCATCGACAAAGCACATGTCGACAAAGGCTTCGCCTTGTTCTGTCAAGAGTGTGGACAGAGATTCCTTGGCATCGCCAATGCGCAAATCAATCAAATCGTCCACACCAGCTTTTTTCCAATACTCTTGTCCAATTTGGGCAAAGTCGGCGGAAACATCCAATCCAATGACTGTTGGTGTTCTGGCGTTGCTAGTATTGTTGATTTTCTGAAGACACTGTGCCAATGCCAATGTAGTAACGCCGCGAAAGACGCCCACTTCAACGACCACTTGGGCCTTCATCATTTCGAGGAGCATGCAGAGGAAATTGGCTTCATCGAGGCCACCGGCCATCATGGCGCGGGGCATGCCTTGGACTTTTTGTTGGAGTTCCGATTCTTCCACTGTAGGCTTTAAACTGTAGCGATTGGAAAATGTCTGCAATTGAACGGGTACTTGGGAAGGGTCGGGCAGTTGTTGAGCTAGAGCGTCCTTTCCTTGTTCCTTCAACTGTCCTTTCACTTCGTCCATCCAGCCTTTGTGTCGACCATAATCTGCAATGGTGGGTGCCGAAGAAAACTTGCTGGTGGGTTCAGAGGCAGCAGCTGATGTCATGGTAGAGTACCGTTTTATTTTTACTTGCTGATTACTTTTTCAGTTCTCTTCCTTTCAAGTTGTGTGCTCAATGCCTCTAGCTAGCCTTTCGTTTCAGGTGGATAGAGTTTCTTTTGCCAGTAGATAATGAGAGCGATTTCGTACGATCACATCTATCTATCTTTGCTTGATGATCTCGAGAAGAGTTTTGACAAGATCTCAAGATCTCCTGCGAAAAAGGATCTTTTGAAATCCGGCCACGACTCAAGGATCTTTTGAGGGATCGAATCGAATCGAATCGATTGAATCGAATCGAGTCTACAAGGTTCCACGTGGAATTGTCTGGATCGGCACATGGCACAGAATCTTTCTTTTGCCATTTCAGAGGCAGCCTCTCATTGACCATCTATCTGTAATACAGGTTGTTGCTCCTACAGTACCACTGGTATCGATAGAGCCATGTCATCATCACTGGCGTATTCCAGAAGAGCCCTTAGCACTGCTACCAGTAGTACTACCCGCAAGGTGGTGGAACGGGTCCGTGCTCGAGTATTTTGTCACTCGGACAGCTACTCATCATCATTATCATCGGAAGATGGAGGAGGCAATCCAGTGACCATTTTCTCCTCTCCAGAAACACTCTCCCCGAAGACACAAGAAAAACTCGCCAAGGAGTGCGATTGGGAAAGTGTCATGGTTCCACACTTCTCTATTTTAAATAATAATAACAACAACTCACCTCCTCCATTATCCTTTTACATGCCATCGGGAGAACAAGTCAGTTTTTGTGCCCATGCTGCCATGGGAGCTGCCATGGAGATTTGTCTGCAACAACAACAACACCAACAACAACAAGAAGATCCACCCGAAGAACAACACATATCCTTCACGGTAGATTCCAAAGAATATTGGACATCCATCTACGATCTAGATATTGTTGCCTTGGAAATGAAGAACACCCAAGTCTACCAACAAACACCAATCTCACAGCCATCCATGCTGTATCGCATGTTAAGGGACTATTGTGGTCTCGAGACGGCCGATATCGCCACCACGCCGCGTTCTGATGTCATGACAAGCGAATTTGAAACAACATCCTACAATAATCACATTCTCTGTCACGGTTCCATTGCCCGTCCGAAAACACTCGTACCGCTCTGGTCCGTCGACGATTTGCACAAAAAGGCAACGGCTCCTTCGACTACAAGCTCCAACAATTTTGCCCTGGCATGTAAAGCACTGGACGATACCACGGGATTGTATTTGTATGCCAAATCCAATGAGGAAGATGGCGCTTGGCATTGTCGACAATTTCCACGAGCATCTGGCTATGCGGAAGATCCCGCTACGGGAATTGCGGCCGCGGCATTGGCATGTCATTTGTATCATCATCACGAAATCGAATTGCCCGTATACAAACTGTATCAAGGAAGTGCCATGGGAAAACCGTCCTTGATTGTCGTGGATCAATTGGCGGTCGTGGAGGAGAAAGCAAGCGATGACGACGACAAGTCATTCTTGCAGGCATCGTTTCGACTCTTGGGAAGAGTGGAAATGGATGAACGAGACACTCTGGAGGTGGATGATTAATTAACAAGAGTCGATACCGTACACACAGCTAGTCTAGCTATGGCTAGCTACCGATAGTAGTCATTTCGAAATTTGTTAGTTGAAACTAAACACTAGACTATGAAAGCTGGCTGGCTGGCTGTTGAATCATTGCTGAAAAGATGTTCTAGCGACGCTTATTACTTAATTCTGCAACTGCTGTTGTTGTTGCTGTTGCTGTCGTTGTTGTTGTCGCTGTTCTAGTAGTAAGAACAATTTGGTGGCATTGGCCTTTTTTTCCAAACAGGGCTTGTTCTTCCAACAGCAGAGTCGATAGCGTGGATCCTCCGCATCTTGCAAACAACGAAACACACCGGCCGGATGAGCCCCAAAACCACCTTCCACAAAGTGTTTGATGATTCGGGCAAAGTTGGAACAACAATTGGCCACCATGAGGCGTGCATGCATTTGGAGTTGAACAGTCGTCATGGCTGACAGCACCTGTTCATCCCCCTGATCCCCTTGGTAAAAACCAGTGTCCGCAGGAATGTCGTGTTTATTCACAATAAATAATGATACTGCTAGCGCTGGATGTTGTTGTTGCTGTTGTTGCTGTTGTTGCTGTTGTTGTTGCAGGTACTTTTGTTGTTCCGCAATCATCTTTTTAGATTCTGTGGTGAAAATAATGGCCGCTGGCAAGGAGGTGGAAGTGTTGTGGATGGAATAATATTCGTTTGTTGGTTGCAGAACAAGCTTGGACCACTCGGCCGCCACTACATCCATGTGTTGCGAAAATGTCAAACATTCACTTTCCTCGTGACACTTATCGGTGGCCCGAATGGGTAGTCCGACCGTTTGGTGGGGATCAAATCCCCGTGGCAAGGAATCTTTTGCTTGCGACCAAATGAGCTGTGCCGTTGTGGGGAGAGGCCGCAACGAGTAGCTGGTGTATGCGGACATCATGGTGTGAAGCGTCCCAGCGGCACGACCAAATCGCCACCCTTCGCCAGCAGCTTTGCGGAGGAGTTGGATTCTTTGAATATCCTTTGTCGTGTGGTTGTTTTTGGCATGATGATTGTCGTCCATGAGAGTGGCCATGATATCTTGTGCATTTCGTTCCGGTTTGTGTTTCATGTAGCTGAGTGAAATCCATTCCATTTCCCACTCATCGGCCACTGCAAAGACCACTTTGGTGTTATTGAGTTTGGTCGGTAGAGTTCCTTCTTTGTAAAGGCCTTGTAGCTCTGTGGCATTGAGCTGATACCCATTGTGGAGGTCCTCTATTGTTGGCACACAAGGACTGGGGGGACAGAACGTGCATTGATAATCCTTGCGTGGGCACGATGCCAGTTGCCATCCGGCTCGATAGTCTTTGTTTTTGGTGACATTGGATGGGAGTTGTTGATTGACAAAGTGAACGACTCTTTGGACGGCCATGCCGGCCTTGAAGGCATGGATCATGGACCAGTAGACATCGGCTCCAATACCGTAATTTAGGATATTGGCAACCAGGTAGTTGGTATTTCGGCACTCAAAATCAAAATTTCCAATATCATATTGTTGTTGTATTCTTTGGAAGGCTTGTGGATTGTCCTGTCTGGCCCGTGCTTCAGGTAGTGCTGGTAGATGTTGATGAATGTGAAGGGCCATATAGTGGAGACGAATATTCCAAAGGCGCTTGGCTTCCAATGTAGGATTCTTGTAGGAAACGTTGAGAATGTTGGACCCCTGAATTGCCAATGTCTGTTCCAATAGAGCTGTCAAATGCTCGTCACGTTCCAGCAAGTGAGGTATATTCAGAATGTTTGTTTGGACATAATGGTCGTCCATTCGGGAATTACGAAAGCGTGGCCCCTGCAACCAACGGTTCGAGTTGATATTAAGATCACTCCATAATATTGTTGTTATTGTGGTTGTTTCTTTGTTACTGCTGTTTGATGTGTTGTTGAAGCTCTGCCATTGCCAGCTATTTACAAGCTGAATACTGCTGTTCTCCTTGCTGGCCACCAGTATCCCAAAAAAAGTTGCCCAGGCCACAGCAATGGTGGCGATGAGGGCTTGAAGAAGTCTTAAGGAACATCCTCTCCAAACACGTTGTTGTTGATGTTGCTTGGTGGGAACCATTATAGGATCTTGGTCTGTTTGCTGCTTCTACCTGCCATTTTCTCTTGCACGCAGATCTTCTAGCCAGCTCTCATATCTTTGCTTGCTAATCTCGAGAAGAGTTTTGACAAGATCTCGATGATCTTTGGACATCCTGTCACAGCTCCAGGTTGCTTTTGAGAGGTTGCTGACGGCAAAGGCGTTGAAGGCCGAACTTTGCGGGGCAGTTCATAGATAGATTATCTACTTGCATCTTGCTCTCTCCGGAAGCCATTGGCTACCATACTGCTTTGCCTAGCCTCGCCCCCCTCGCTCCTTAACGTATCTATTTAGTATTTATTTTCACCAGGTACCGTAGCTGACTTGGAGCGGTGCACTTATCTGCGCTGAAAGTTCATGTATTATTGGTCAATTGAGACAGACCAAACCGAAAATGGCACAGATGATACGAAAGAAAACAAGCCCAAGAGATTTGGGGTTTGCTTCAACCTAGCTAAGCTAAGTTGTTCACGGTTACACTACTGGCATCCCCGTTGCGAACATCGCGGCCAGCTAGCGAGATACACGGAGCCATCATTGTTGTCAACCAAAATACTAATGAGATGCTGCAAGGACAGGAGAGCTGTCCACACCTCGTCTGTAAATTGATCATTTATTTTCGGCCAACAAGGTAGTGTGCTTTTGGAAAAGCAATCCAGCCAAATTCCGCTGACAGTAACAACCTACGCACTCGGGTCAGAAGTTGGTCTCTTTGCTGTCACACATGTTTTGGGTTCAGGCCCTGCACTGCGAAGGCCCTTGAAGAGCCATCGATAAGCATGCGGTCGGTCCACAAAATAAACCATAGCCACAGAGGCATCACGGCCAGCTACTTCAACGGCATCACCGTTTCAGGCCGTTTCATTGTGACAGTCACAGGCACACTGCAAACTTGTCTTGTCAAAGGCTAGATGGATGCCTTCGGCTGGAATGCAGGGTCCCCGCCATTGGCTAGGAATGCAGGTGGCATTGATCTGGCACAGTGCTTGGGGAACACTGCCCGACAACAAGGCATTGCCCTGGACATCCAAGTAATATAGGGACTGATTCAGCGTATGGAGTGCCTCTGGAATCGTACCAATAAGCCCGTTGTTGGACAGGTCTAATTTTCCCAGGGATGTGAGCAATCCAAGCTCACTGGGAATGGATCCAGTATGATTGTTCTCCCGAAAGTCCAAAGCATATAGCCCCGTCAAGCGACCCAGCTGTGTCGGCAAGGTCCCTCCAAGCTGTGGATTTTTTTGGAGTGTCAGAGCTAGGTTAAGATTGGATAGGTTTCCCAGCTCTGAAGGCAGGGTGGACAAAAAGTTGTTAGTGTGCAACGACAGGAGCGTACTGGCGGTCAACAGACCCAATTCTGTAGGGATCACCCCTTCGAATTGATTGCGATTCAAGGACAACACGAGCATATTACTGGAAAGCAACCCAATAGTGGAAGGAACTGTTCCATGGAATCGATTTCCCGCCAACAGAAGCCATAGAAGGTTGGAGAGTTGGCCTACCTCCTCTGGAATGGTTCCTGTAGATTGTTGATGGTTGTGGAAGCAAAGGAAGATCAGTTTGGCTTCGCACTTGCTATAGCGAGATGGTCGCAAAACATATCCCTTCAATTGACTTACCGGAATGATCATTGTTGTCAACCGAAAACCTACCGAGCTGCGGCAGAGACACGAGAGTTGTCAGCACGGGGCCTGTCAACTGATCATTCTGGCCCAACACTAGGGTATGCAGATTGGTCAGCAAAGAAAATTCACTGGGCAGCGATCCTGTATGACCATTGCCAGCCAGAGATATTGCTTGCAGGTTTGTCAACCGCGCAACTTGTGATGGAATGGTTCCACCTTGCTGCGTGTTGTGAATCCAGAGTCTTGTCAGCGCTGTAAGCTCTCCCACTTGTTCGGGAATTGGGCCCTGCAGTTGACGATTGTATTCCAGCCCCAAGCTTTGGAGGGACGTCAACAAAAACAGCTCGGGCGGCAGCGTGTTCCTCAAATTGTTGCGGGCCAATCCCAAGTTGAAAATGACGCCCGCTTGGTTGCACATGGGCTGGAGTTGTTTCGTGATGAGAGTTCGGACCTCGCTGTGCCAGGCACATTCGTGGACGGTATGATTCAGCCAGTTGTCGCGTTGTTGCCATTGGTCACCACCGGTGGCATAATACAAGCTTGCCAGAGCAAAACGTTGATGTATCCGCCAGTCCTCAAAGACAATGTTGTGGCTGTCGACATCCTCTAATAACCACTCGAACGCTTGTGCTTGTGGGGACTCTGGATCGTCTTGAACTGAGCGAACTGAGTAGTCAGGGAGTAACGACAAGTAGTAGTTGGCGATAGAGACAGTGGGAGCTTCGGATGGTACGGCAGTGATGGGTGTTGCGATGCCTTCATTGTCTGGGTTCTGGTCCCCGACGAGCAACATCGTCACCACAATGACACTAATGACGACTAGCAAACCAATGGCGCCCATTGCCAGGATCCTTAATTCACGATGCCATGTATCCTTGGCATTCATCAAGCGGGTTGTCATACGGGTGGCCCTGGGCAAATCATCAACGTTTGTTTGTTCATTCTCGTGAACGAGATTGGCCACCGGGATCGATGGGTCGTGAGATGTAGAACCATGATGTTCACTGCCGCGCAAACCAGCTCGTCCATCTTCGAGATTTCCACCCGTTGCGTGGGCTCCAGGGACTAGCAATTGCGGGAGCGGGTCGTGGCCTATGGATGTTCGTTGGGAGGGGTCATCATCTTCGTGGTGATCGCGCTGTTGTGACTTGTCTCCTTCCGTCTTGGTCAAACTATCACCACTGCTCTTATCTCGGGTGGTTGCGTCATCTACATCCGCCTTGTTCTTATTAAAAGCAGCAGACTTTTCTTCCATCAAGTCTGACTCGAAGATGGCAATTCCAACTCCAACAACACTATTAGTAATACCGGCAGTTTCTGATGATACTCTCGCAGCCACTTTTTCCTGGTTGACTTCCTCAGAGAGGCCACCGTCGTCGAGCTCATTTTTGACGGCTGACGTCTCTAAAGCCGTGTTGCTTTTGGCAGCAGCCGTCTCCTTTTTATCTACAAGGTTTGCCTTTGTGTCCAGGGCAATTCCAATTCCAACGCCAACAGCATTAGAAGTATTGGTTTCGGATTCTTCGAGCGCCTGCATGATAGCTAGATAGCTAGCTGAGAGATGAGGCAGATTTGAGGTATTTAAGCGCTGGAGGGTACGATACCGGTACTAGCTAGTAGGATGGTTGTTGCCAGTGATGGGAGAGGGGAATGGAATGAGTTTGACCTGTACGAGGCACACGTGGTCTGTGGAGTTGTGCGTGTGGACTGTGGACTGCGGAGCTCTATGCAGCGCCCATCCTTGCTGCCCCTTCCTGTTCCGACAGATCGAAGTGTCTTTTGTGGCTGAGACCAGCGCACCCAGATTACGTGGTGTACATGTATAGTCAGCGCTCTCTCACAGGGTTACTCACCATTTTTTCTCGAGACCCAGATTTTTAAGAACATATTCCCATAAGATTTGGCGATAAATCTTCTTTAATATTGGGCTGGTTTGTCTTTTATGTCTCGAGTCATTAAAGACATAGACCAATGTCTCGCAACTCGTGACTTCTAGAAAATTCCGAAGTGTACTCAAATGTCTATAGACGTCTCAAGTCTCAAGAGCTCAAGAGAGCTCTCGCGACATCCTAAATGTCTCGCAACATCCTAATGTCTCGAGACATGTCTCATTTGTCTTTTCATTAAAAGGACAACCCCTTAAATACGAGTGTAGAAACAAGACTTAGAGTCTCGAGTCATGTGAGATATAAGCCCAATGGCTCGCGACGTCTAGAAAATTACTCAAATGCTCAAATGTCTATCTACAAATTCATCGTCACTGCAACTCAACCAAGACATTTAATATCGCATTCCTTGAATGCTGGATCTCTGAAGCTTTTAATTTGTACGGTGCGGTACGGTACCGTGCGCAGGTACAAAAATCGTCAACGAAAATTCTCTTGAAAATACTAAAAGACTGCCCACTGATAATTCAGAGGGAATACTAATACAACACTAAAGTGTTCGGGGAAAGTGTTCAGGAGAAGTGTTGGGGAGCAGTGTTTCAGAGAAGTGCAACCAAATTTGCAGAGGAAAGCGATTCTCAGCTTGCCTTTTGAAAAAGAAACAGCATCACACTGAGCATCCTATGGCAAGGCAACCCAATCAGCACTGTGAAGACCTTCAGGACATGAAACTACAGCCTACGGTATGCAGCAGGGAGCGACTCGAGATACTGTAACGATTGAATCATTCAGAGAATCGACATTTCGTTGATTCATGGGGTCGTTGCACAAAGCAATCATCCATGGAGGTATTAGCTGCGGTATCGCAGCGAGCTAGTTCCACGGTGTCACTGTTTCATTGTGACAGTCACATGCACACTCCAAACTGGTATTGTCAAAGGCCAGATGGGCGCCTTCAGCTGGAATGCAGGGTCCCCGCAAGAAGCTAGGAATGCAGGTGGCATTGATCTGGCACAGTGCTTGGGGAACACTGCCCGACAACAAGGCATTGCCCTGGACATCCAAGTAATATAGGGACTGATTCAGCGTATGGAGTGCCTCTGGAATCGTACCAATAAGCTCGTTGTTGGACAGGTCTAATTTTCCCAGGGATGTGAGCAATCCAAGCTCACTGGGAATGGATCCAGTATGATTGTTCTCCCGAAAGTCCAAAGCATAGAGCCCCGTAAAGCGACCCAGCTGTGTCGGTAAGGTCCCTCCAAGCAGTGGATTTTTGTGGAGTGTCAAACCTACGGAGAGATTGGATAGGTTTCCCAGCTCTGAAGGGATGGTGGACCAAAAGTTGTTGGTGTGCAACGACAGGAGCGTACTGGCGGTCAACAGACCCAATTCTGCAGGGAGCACCCCCTCGAGTTGATTCCGACTCAAGGACAGTACACGCATGTTGGACAGCAAGCCAATAGTGGAAGGAAGTGTTCCATGGAATCGATTTCCGGACAACAGAAGCCATCGAAGATTGGAGAGTTGTCCTACCTCCTCGGGTATGGTTCCTGTAGATTGTTGATGGTCGTGGAAGCAAGCAAGATCAGTTTGGCTGCACGCTTGCTGTAACTATTTCAAAACTATCAATGCAATTGACTTACCTGAATGATCATTGTTATCAATCGAAAACCTTCTGACCTGAGGCAGGGACAGGAGAGTATTCAGCACAGGGCCTGTCAACTGATCATTCTGGCCCAACACGAGGGTGTGAAGTTTGGTCAGCAAAGAAAATTCGGTGGGTAGCGATCCTGTATGACCATTGCCAGACAGAGATAATGCTTGCAGGTTTGTTAACCGACCAACCTGGGATGGAATGGTTCCACCTTGCTGCATGTTGTGAATCCACAGTCTGGCTAGTGCGGTAAGCTGTCCCACTTGGTCAGGGATTGGGCCCTGCAGTTGAAGATTGTATTCCAGCACCAAGTTTCGGAGGGACGTCAGCAAAAATAGTTCGGGTGGCAGCGTGTTCCTCAAATTGTTTCGGGGCAATCCAAATTCGGAAATGACGCCCTTTTCATCGCACATGGGCTCGAGTTGTTGTGTGACGAGATTCCGGACCTCGCTGTGCCAGGCACATTCATGGACAGTATGATTCATCCAGTTGTCACGTTGGCGCCATTGGTCACCACCGGTGGCATAATACAAGCATGCCAGAGCAAAACGTTGGTGTATCCGCCAGTCCTCAAAGACAATATTGTGGCTGCCGACATCCTCTAATAACCACTCAAAAGCTTGTGCTTGTGGGGACTCTGGATCGTTTTGAACCGCACGCACCGAGTAGTCCGGAAGTAGTGACAAGTAGTAGTTGGCGACAGAGACAGTGGGAGCCATGGATGGTGCCGCAGTGATGGCGGTGGTGGGTGGTGCAATCTCTTCATTATCTGGGTTCTGGTCCCCGACGAGCGACAGCGTCACCACAATGACGATGATGACGACGAGCAAGCCAATGGCACCCAGCGCCAACAAAATCTTCTTTTCGTGATGCCACGTACCATTGGCATTCGACGGCCGGGTTTCCATACTGGTGGCGCGGGGCAAATCAAGGCCTGCTTCTTCATCCTCATCAACGAGATTGGCCACGGGGGTCGTGTGGTCGCTAGTAGTAGAGTCATGTTCACTGCTGCTCATACTAGCTCGTTCATCCGTGAGATTGATAAAGCCGCCACCACGAGCGTGGGCTCCAGGGATCCCGGCCGATTGCTGGAACAAGCCATGGCCTCGCGTCAAGGATGTTCGTGGGGCGGAGTCATCTTGCGTACCGGTAAGTCTGGGGGGTGGTATGTGGTGATCCGGCTGTTGTGACTTGTCTGCTTCCGTCTTGGTCAAAAAATCAAGACAATGGAATGGTTCACTACCGCTCTTATCTCGAGAATCAGCGGGATTGCTGTTGGCAACAGGGTGGGCTCCAGGGATGAGAGATTGGATGATTGCATCCTCTACTCCCTCCTTGTATTTAACAGCAGGCTTCTGCTGCTTTACCAGGTCTGACTCTGTGTTAATGTCAATCCCGACTCCAACAGCAATAGTAGAATCAGTGTCTGATGCTGTTATCGCAGCCACTCGTTCCTCGTTGACTTCCTCAGAGAGGCCACCGTCGTCGAGCTCATGCAGGATGATAGCTGACTTCTCTTCTTCGTCTTCCATCTCAGTATCCCTTTGCTTTTTCGTCAGGTCCACGTTATCGTCAATGGAGATTCCAACTCCGACAACATTGGTAGTAGTATCGGTTTCGGATTCTGGTATCCTGGCTGCAGTTTTCTCCGTGTCTCTGGCTGATGAGAGACCCCCGTCTTTGAGCTCCTTCATGATACAGTACCGGTAGTCTAGCTAGCCGCGAGATGAGAGAGCTTTGTGGTGCTTTAGCGCCGTTGGGCGAAGAGGTCCTGAGCTGTTGTTGATAGTGTGGGGTAGAAGGAAAAGAGGTGGTTGTTTTATTCTTTTAAGTAAAACTAACTCAGACAAGTGGTTTTTACTGTTCCATCCAGTTTGGTGGTACAGCGACAGCGAATAAAACGAGAGCAGCACAGCTGCGTTTTGTTGGGGATTGGGTGTGTCAGAGGTCAGAGGTCACACCCTTCTTCAGTGGTAAAAAACGGAATGGTCCGAAAACAGGTGTATTCTTTTCTCTTCGGCTTCCAGATAATACTAGTATTCAGGGAGGAAGACAGTTTTAGGTGGGTAGATGCGGTACATATAGGGTTAAAGATACCGGTATTGTTTACTTTCTTTGTATCAAAAAACAATAATACCGCATCTACCAGATTTTGAAAGTTGCCATCCTGGACTGGGTGATTTACAGACATATAGTACAGAACTCAGTACGGTACAGAACTCGTACGGTGTAGCAGTAGTCTTACTAGGCACCTCAGAGCCTCAGAGTACTACCGGTATTAGTCTTCTACTAGTACTAGTCTTCTACCCAGCAGTAGCCAGCTACTCGAGCACTTGAGTTATTGAGTTTGCATTTATCTCAGCGAACCGACACGATTGATCCTGGCTACAGTAGCGCCAGATACTATTTTTTAATACATGTAGTAGGAAGGTGAGCTACGCAAGCTGCAGCTGCAGAGGTGTCATGATGGGTTGAAAATGATCCTTTGATTACTCCAGTAGAGCTTTAGGCAATGTAGTCCTCGGTGTGGACTTAGTTAGTGGATTGATTGAAGAGACTCGACGACTCGACTCGACTCGACTCACTCCTCAGTTTCGAGATCCTGGTGTGGCAGTGTGGCAGTGTGGGAGCGGAATCGGTGAAGACGGCGACAGCGCCTTGACTGGCACGATAACCCTTTTGCTTAGTGCTGGAAACGCGACTCTGACCTCGTTCATAAGAAGCTTCCAGCACAGGTGTTCATTTTCCTTGGAATTAGCGGATCTAGGCCACTGCCTGGAAGGTCCGTCATGCGACTGCTAGCTGGCTAGTCGCCACTTCGAGGGGTAGCCCCTCTCCGAGTTGAGTTCGCCCAAACCCAGTGCACGAAGTTCGTTTCAATGCCAGTATACTTGCTTGCTAGCTAGCCAGAACATCAGAGTGCCGAGCCACGAGGGAGTCTGGAATATTTTGCCCCAGGGGGGCCTACAACTACTAGCTAGTGCCTGGCTAATGTCCTCTACTAGTTTTCTTGGGGAAACTGCACATTTTCTCTGCATCCATAGTCTTCCATAGATTGCCGGCCACATCCTCAATTCCATGTGGTCTTTCAGTTCCAAATACTAGCCTGCAATGCATTGGATGTCAAAAATGACAAGATCCAGTTTGTCCATTACTAAGAGTATTTATTGCGCTCAGTTCAGTCCTGGGCAAGGAACACAGTCACAACCACAAAGAGAGGTTCCCTGGCATACTTGAATTTCACTCTTTACTTGGTAGCACTGTCCACCAAAACATTTTAACTCCTGCTGATACATTTTGCCACATAGTTGTTCAGGGATGCTGCCTGACAAGGATGTGTTTGCCACTACCAAGCTTTTCAAGTTTTTCAATGCAAGCAACTCAGAGGGCAGTGTGCCAAAGTGGTTGGTATTTTGCAGCTCCGATGTCGTGAGGTTCGCCAGTAGGCCAACTTCTGTGGGAATAGAACCAGTCCCCAATCAGCAAGCATGTGGTATAGTTGACCTGGCTGATCCTTTATGTCCAAACGAATTAGTTGTAGGTTGTAGTGGTGGCAGTCAGTGGCCTTTGGCCTTCGGCCTGCGGACTGTTTGTTCTGTTGTTGTTGTTGTTGTCCAATACTACAATGTATTACTCCAGAGTAATGATCACATGATCACAACCTTTGCCTTGGCATTGGCACACGACAGGGCACAATAAGCTGCACACTCTCGGTTACGCCATAGAGTTGTACACAGACAATGACTGCGCATAGGACACTGTATCGTACATGTACGTTTCTGGCACATGAGAACTGGATGCTCTGCTTCTGCATACAGCACCTATGAACAGTTCGGCCATACAAACACTGCCGATCAGCAAGCGATGGGTGGTCTGGCATAGCACTAGCTTTTGTCCAGACACTCCAGCCTTGTTGACTATCCATTGTAGTACCGAACACATCAGTGATTTTATTAGATATGAACAGTTTTGGGGAGATAGACTCTGACGATGACATTGTATCAGTTGGCGATGGTGTAGAACTTTTTACTCCTACTCTTTAATTAAACTCGGAGTACGACGGTGTTAATTAAATATCCATGTGGTTGGACTGTCGCACTACATACTGCAGCTATACTGCATACTGCTACTCAGGCAAACATGATACTTAAACATACATGATAGCGGTATTTTTTGAAAAGCAGAAGGTACTCTTCAGTAGCTAATTTTATAATAGCTGGATTTTATTGAGGTTCATCCCTGCGTGCGCGAAGTGGGCGTAGAAGCTTTAACCACTGAAATGTCATTAATTAATTCAGACATCGAAGTGTTTTAAAGTTCCTCAATCGTCCTCTCTCAACGAAGGGCAAAGAACTCCTGGAGCCGCTTATGACGTTCTGAGTTCTCAATAAGTTAGTCAGTTTTGCCTTGCGTGCGCGAAGAGGGCATCGCAGATTTACCACTGAACTGTCATTATCTCTTCATCGAAGTGCTTTAATTAAGGTTCCTCAGTCTCGGAAGGGCAAAGAACTGTAGACTTCATACTGGGAAACCAAAGAACTGGCAACCTGGCACAAGTATGAAAGTAAGTTAAAGTTGTCATCCTTCAAGCAGTCAGGCGACAGGATCTCAAAATCTTGCTACTAGCTCCGAAGTCAAGCTCAGAGAAGCCTGCAAAAACGACTTCCAGCCTGCACCCAACGCCCACAATTAATTTACTCGAACGATAAAAGAAACACTACTCTAGCTAGAAACTTCTTGCTAGTAGCTAGCAGCCTCAAGCAATATTGAACCCCTCGTCGAACAAACACCACCATGAAGTCTCGCATGGCGTTGACGATCCTGAACTTTACCTTTCCCGTGGCGGCTCAGCCAACTCCAGCGCCATTTGCTCCCTGCGACTTGCTGCCGCTTCCCGCTTCTTTGCTCCCGTCGCAATCTCGCATCTACCGCGTGGCAGTCCTGGCGTTTCGGGGGGTTGACACCGCGCAAGAGCAATGGAGTCTTTTGTTTGGGGACTACTTGACGGCCACGGCTGGGAAGAGGTTTGATCCACCCGTGTCATTTGAAATGGTGCCGGTGCCGTTTGGCTTGGAGCGAGAGCCTGTCGACGAGTTCATCCAGGGCGGCTATGACTTTGTCTATGCCAATCCTAGCATGTTCAGTTGTGTCGACAGTGAAGTCGGAATGAACACTCTGGTCAGTGTCATTTCCAAGCGCAAGGTCAACGGACAAGTCTACTCCTTGACAGAGTTTGGTGGAGTCATCTTCACGTGGGCGGGGAATGACCAAATCAACAAGGTAGAAGACTTGGCAGAAAAACGGTTGGGGCTGGCCAACATTGCTGGGTTGGGAAGGTACGTGTAAAGTGCACACAAGTCTGATACTAGCTAGTATGTAGCACTGCGTCATGTGCTTGCTGGCTACCTCCTAGCTGGCTAGCTAGAAAGTACATGTCATTGTACATGGACACGCCAACTAACCCTTCATGTTTTGCTTCCTTCCTTCTATTCTATTCAATCTATACGTACACGCATGTACAGTGGGCAGATGCAGTTTCGAGAAATGATCAAGAACGGTCTTCACCATTTGCAAGACCCCAAGCAACTCATCTTTTACGGAAACCAAAACAAAGTCGTACAGGCTGTCTTAAACGGGGACGTCGATATTGGCTTTGTCCGAACAGATCAATTGGAACGTTTCATTGATCCCGCCACCAATGAACCTCTCGACCAATCCAAAATCAAGATTGTCGGACCCCAACAGAACCTTCTCGCCGATGGAAGCCCCTTTCCCTTTGCCGCATCCACGCAAGATCTATATCCAGAATGGGCCCTCGCGAGCTTTCCCAGTGTCGGAAAAGACATTGAGCGAGAAGTCCAGCACAGTTTGATGGATCTGACGCTACATGCTGCGGCTGCCAAGCCTCTCGTTGAATGTTATGAGGATCGCAACTGCACGTCGTTGCTGTTGGATGACGACAACAGGGCAACCTGCCAACAAGAGTGCTTTCGTCAAGCCCATCCTTGGGGGCATCAGACCTGCGAAGCGGATGCTGATACGACACTCCTCGCAGACTTGGCACAGACTGCCGGAAACTTTGCAGGGTGGAGAACGCCCCTGTCGTACATGTCCATTCGAAATATGCAACAAGAGATTGGTTTTATTCAGCATCGCCAGGATGGGACCTTTCAGTGTCTGCGGGGAGACTCGTTGGCCGATTCCGTTGTCTGTCCATTGGAGCATTTCAAAAAGTCGGTCGACGAAATTGCGACGGGGTGCGAGGATCTGGGCATGCCATGTTATGGGTTCTCCTGCATGTGCAAGCCATGTGTCAAATCCTACGACGTCGATGTCTTTCCTCTGATGATGATGCCGGCATCCACGAACTCGACCAATCAACAACAAGTTGGATGCGGCAAGTTCGATGTGTGCGGCGTAGTCCAACAGAACCACAAACGTACCTTCCGAGCAGTGGACAATCGTAAGCGACACAACACGTCCTTTGCGGTGCTACTTCACGCGGGTGGGGACAGTCAAGAATATCACATGAAGCAAAATGACACCTATGCCTACGAATTTGAATTCGATGCCACAGACAGCAAGGTTGGCTATCTGATAATGGAGATCAGTGTGCTCGAGGATGGCGAATGGAAACAGGTATCACAGAGTCCTTTTCGACTGGAAGTGGTGCCGCCTGATTGCCAGGCAGAGACTGGAGACAGTGGGCGTGTGGCAGATGCCAACGGGAATTGCATTTGCGATAACTCCACCATTGAGCTTCCTTCGGGATGCATGCCGCTGGGAGTGTTCATACCCGCAGTCATGGTTCCAATTATACTGGCAGCTGCGGCAGGCATGTTCTGCTACTTGTGGCGCAAACGACAACAAGAAGACCTGGTTTGGCAAATTGCTTCGAAAGAGCTTTGCTTTGATTCGCCGCCGAATGTCCTTGGGAGGGGACGATTTGGGATGGTATACCTCGGCACCTTCAGAGGCACCGAAGTTGCGGTCAAGAAGCTGCTAGATCCTGACCAGGTTGACCAAACTGCACACAGGTCCATGGGAGTGCGTGAGGTAGGAAAGCTCATCTCTCTCGCAGGTGTGAAGACGGGTGATGTGGAAACGTTTCCAGACGAAGATGCGTCCCAGACAGAGCATGAAGGGAAAGTAGGTATCAGGTCTTGCTTGTTTATTCCGCCCCAAAGTAGTCACGGCTCTGGCAAAATGAACACCACTTTGGGTAGCTCCCGGAAGCAACAGGCAAGTTTGAAGTCAGAAATGAGACTGCTCTCAAAGCTTCGACACCCAAATGTGGTGACCATCATGGGATGCACCCAGGACATGAGGCTTGTTATGGAATACATGGAATTGGGCTCGATGAGTGATGTTTTGCGCAGTCCAACAATGGTCGTTGATGACGGCAAAGTACTCGGGATGGTGCAAGACGTTGCAAAGGGGTTGCGCTTTTTGCACGCAACAAATATTATTCACGGAGATCTCAAAGCTCAGGTACGAAACCTTACATGGTTTCCATGATTTTGTGGATTCAGTTTTGGAACGCTAATTTACTCAATGTCTCTTCGTCTCCGAAATTCCAGAACGTCTTGGTTGATGCCAAGTTTCGGGCCAAGGTGAGTCATTTCAAACCAGTGTTTTTGACAATTCGCCTCATATGGCAATTCTAATCCGTCCTTGGTTGGATTCTTCAGGTTGCGGACTTTGGCTTATCCAAGCATCCGAGACGTCGTCGAGGAAAGGGGGCATCTGGCACTCCCTTTTGGATGGCAGTAAGTTAGAATCGGTTCTGTTTGTGAGGGCGGCAGTTCACATCTGACCTCGTTCGTATTCTTTTCGAACAACCTTATGCCATACAGCCCGAGCTTCTTCGAGGAACAAGTGGCAATACGACGATGTCCGACATCTACTCCTTTGGAGTTTTCCTTTTTGAAGCATACAAACGGCAATACCCATACCAGGGAGAAGATCCCAACGAAGTGCTCCGCAAGATTATTGATCCCCTCGTCAACAAATGTCCATCCATTCCTTCGCGTTGTCCCATGCAGGTTGCTGGTTTAATGGAGGCTTGCTTCGAAGAGCCTGAAGGGCGTCCCACGGCCAGCGAAATCGATGAGAAACTTGCAAGTATCACCCAAGATGGCGGCAGAGGTCAAGCATTGCTCTGGGAGCTGTTCCCAAGACATGTTGCAGCTGCGATTCGAGACGGGCGGACGGTGGAGCCTGAAACCCACGAGAATGTTTCGGTTCTTGTCAGCAACATCGTGGGACATGAAACCCTTGAGTCTACCCTCTCCCCAACAAAGCATTCCAATTTGCTAGACCGTTTGTATAGCAAGCTTGAAAACCTTTGTGATCTCCACAACGTTTTCAGGCTGGTGACAGGGGATGATGGCTTCATGTGCGCCACAAACTTGGCGGAGGAGCAACATGATCACGTCCGTTCCATTGCTGCATTTGCTACAGATGCGCTCAAGGCAGCCGCATGTACTTTAGTTGATGAAGGAGACCCATCCAAAGGTTACGTTAGCATACGGATTGGAATTTCTTCTGGCACGGTGGTGTCTCATGTGGTTGGATCAAGAACTCCCCGATACTCAATCTTTGGCCAACCTGTCAACATCGCAACCAAATTGGAGAGCTCGGCTGTCCCAGGACGAGCACAATGTTCTGAGGTGTCTGCTGATCTCCTTAAGGAGCAAGACCCAGAGGCTGATCTGTTTCTTCACGGAACGGTACCAATTGATGGGGGAAATGAGATTGTATCATATTGGATTGGGGAGCCCATCGTACCTGGCTCCGAGCCTGTTGCGGCAGCGCCAGAAAGTGGTGTCTCCAACAAGGGTTTGGGGAGTCTGATTGAATGGAACGTGGACGTGTTGGCTCGTGTCCTTCGAGAGATTGTTGCAGCCAGACACACACACCATGGCAATACGACACAAACAGACTTCTCCCACTTGGCCGCAGCAAGTGAGGCAGGGACTATTATTGATGAAGTAGAAGAAGTCGTATCCCTTCCCAAGTTCAATGTCGATACTGTACGACGCATGAAGGAACGACAGGGTGCGGCCCTTCCTCCTGATGTAATGCTGCAACTACGAGCCTTCGTCACTGAGATCGCACAGATGTATGACAACGACGTCCCATTTCACAACTTCCAGGTGGGTACAGTGCTATCATTTATTTCAATGTTAATCCTTTTGTTCGGTGCCTAACCTTTTGATTATTGTATCCCATGCAGCACGCAAGTCATGTCACTCTCTCGGTGGTTAGGCTGCTAACGCGAATCAAGGCTGTGCCAATGGAAGGGCAGGGCGCAACCAACCGAGACAACGAGGAACAGAGCAACATGTCTCTCCACGAGTGTTCATTCGGTATTGCGTCGGATCCAGTCACTCAACTTGCTATCATCTTCAGGTACGTCCAAGAGATTTTGCTCCTCCATGTGATGCTTCAGGAAACGGTGCTCAGCTCTGTGTTTGCAACTTCAGTGCATTGATCCATGACACGGCACACCAAGGTGTCCCGAATACGCAGTTGGTGAAGGAGAACCAGGAAATCGCGGCCAGATACAAAGGTCGAAGTAAGTAGGGCAAAGTTGTCAATGGCTGCCTGACTTTGCTTTCTCTTCCAACCTTTATCTCACCATGCAACAACACAAAACTGTGATGACGACGACGAAGGTGTTGCTGAGCAGAACTCGGTGGCGTTGGCTTGGAATTTGTTTATGAACCCCAAGTTCAGCGAGTTGCGTCACACCATTGCGCAAACAGAGGATGAAATCACCCGCTTTCGACAGCTGGTAATCAATTGTGTCATGGCGGTGAGTTCCGTGCAGCCGAAGTTCCTTTGCTCTCTCCTTATCTTGTTGTCCAAGAATAGCGGCATCTGACAATCTTTCTGTTCTCACGTTTCTTCATCCCATGTAGACGGATATCGTCGACAAGGCGCTCAAGCAACTCCGCAACAATCGATGGGACACTGCTTTCAGTGGGCAAATTGCAGAAGAAGAGGAGAAGGCAGTCAACAGGAAAGCCACGATTGTGGTAAGTGCCTCCTGTACCTGGTTGTTTCTCTCTCCTACATGTGTCTACGATGCTCACTGCTTGAACCTTTTTCTTTTCAGATTGAGCACATCATACAGGCAAGCGACATTGGACATACAGTAAGTCGGCAAGCTGCTGGTTTTCCTTTCGAAAACGAGACTTTGTGGGGTGCCTTTGGTTCACGTATTTTTGCCTTGTTCTTCGTTTTCAGATGCAGCAGTGGCATGTGTACAGAAAATGGTAAGTCAGCTATTGAGTAATCGTTTTGCGGTTGGTTCCGACACAGTTTACTCAAAGCAGTTACATCTCTTCTGATGTACACAGGAATGAGCGCTTCTTCCAAGAGTGCTACAAAGCCTACAAGGAAGGGAGAGCAGAGAAGGACCCAAGCAAAGGGTGGTATAAAGGAGAAATTGGTGAGAGCAAACTTGGCGGGAGCAACTGCCTTCGACGACTCACGGACCCCCTCAGTGATTTCATGCTTCTGACCACTTTTCTTGCTTGGCTTGCTAACCATGGCAGGTTTCTTTGATTTTTACATCATTCCCCTTGCGAAGAAGCTGCAAGAGAGTGGCGTCTTTGGGGTGTACGGAGATGAGTATGTCAAAAATGCTCAGGCGAATAGAGAAGAATGGGTCAAGTGTGGGGAGCATGCTTTGGCGGAGATGATGGAAAAGCAGAACAAGGGAAGACAAGGTGGTGGCACCGGTTCCGTATCCATGAAGCGCGTGTGAAGCGAAGGGACTAGTGAGGATAGTGAGGGTACGGCACGGCAGCATCCAACATGGCATTCCTCAGCAACTATACGGTAGTCTTAAGAGCCAGGTGCATTCACATCCAGCAACGAGATTATATGATGATTGTTTGGGGCTGATAGTATACTGCTTAGTCAGAATAGAAGGTCGCCATGCTGGTGGTGCTCTTTCACAAGGTTGTATTTTGACCAACGGCAGGGAACACAATCACAACCACACAGGGAACTCCATCACAAACTGTTGCATGGTTTTCCGCCACCAGCAGTTTGCAACCCTCATTGCTACAGCACTTGTATTCTGTGAGATTTGCTGCCGCTTTTAGAGGAATTCTGCCTGGGAGGCAGGGGTGTCTTGTACACATCCTACGCTCAACTCCAGCAGTTGCCAGTTTACGATCTTTGATCGTACGGAATCTCCTGTAGCCACAGTAGACAAGAGGATGGATAAGGTTCTCGACGACCAGATCCAAGGTCTATCCAAGCCCTCACTTTCAATTAGTTTTCCTGTCTTTCTAATCTCACAATTCTAAACTCTAGATAATCAAAACAATCAAACAATCAAAAGATATCTGCCTAGCTTTTAGCTTCGTCGTGAAGCTCATTGAGCAGGTCTCCCGCGGGAGGCCTGGAAGTGTGATATCATAGATTATAGCAGAGAATCTACGTACTCCACGATCCAATTCCAGAACGCGTGGAAACTTCAGCTAGTAGCTGTCTAGTAGCGTGGAAGCTCTCCACGCCAGCTAAATATCTAGAGCGATGTTTCATCGACAACCTAGTATGACTAGCAGACATGAGAACTCTGTCTCAATGACTATTCGCGAAAGACTACGTCATGAGTTGAACTCAAACCTTATCTAGGATCGAGTCGCGAATAAGGCTAAGAGCCGTGTATTGCATTCGCCCCCTGACAGCGGTCACAGAAGGCACGACAGCAGTCGGACAAGGAGAACATATGATTTAAAGTGCTGGGGCACTCTCCGGAGGTTGGATGTAGACATGTGCAGCGCACGATGGCAATCCTACAAGGGGATCAAGCCTTGTATGGGTGTAGATACCTTATGTTTCAATTCTGGTAGACTGTGCCGCCATTAGCGGTAGCATGTCGGAGCTGTACAGTGTCATTGTCATTGACTCGGTCTATGTTGTAAGGACCTTTGTACTTTGGCTGACCGTACTTGCGGTGCTGATACTGTTGAATCATCACAGTATCGTTGGCATTGTATTGATGAGGTTAGTAGGGAACGATCAGCCAGGAAGCAAAGCAAGCTGCCATGAATTGCATGAACAATCATTGGGACTCGCAATGGAACTCACCCTCTTGTTTATGTGGCATGCATCCTTGGCAGCAGTTTTCTGCGCAACACATTGTGGGCCTGCAGCTGCTCGCTGCATCGCATGGGTTGTTTTGTGGGTTGATTGGTAAATGCCAAGCTTATTCTCCCATTTCTTGAGCAAATCAAACTGCTGTGGATCCTTCAACATCTCACTAAACTTCTTGCAGTAGTCACTAAACTTATTAGTCAATTCGGGCCACATGCCTTTAGTGATCATCTTCTTGGTTTTCTTCTTTTTTTCTTTGATACCGTTGTTTTGGTTCTTCTGCTGTAGGCTCAGGTTGTGAACGATGTTGTCTTTTTTTGCTGCCACGTCGATTAAGGTGGCTGCCGTTGCTGCCTCGCAGCACCATTGCTCTGGTCCAAGGAATTTTCAGGAATACTTATCTTGGGATTTCTTCAGCTTGGGACACATAGCGAAAAGGCCCACTGGTAGAAGAAACGGAGCGCACCAATGGCTGTCGCCTTGGGATACTTGGCAACTTGACCCAATTGAGGGACCTTTTTCAAAGGCCAACTGAATGCGTGTCATGGTTAGAATGTCGACATCTTGTATACTCTCAGGACCGGCTTGATTCATCAAGTCTATATGAAAGGTGTAGAAGCAGTAGAATGCAACACTGAGTGAGTTCATTAGTTCAATACAATAAATGTGGCCGGGGCACTTACATCTCTTTAGGTAGTCGCGGAAAGGGGATTTCTTGTTGTTCACGGTGACATCCCTGGCCTCTTGTGGTATCTTAGAAACCAATGGCCGGAGCTCCATGCGGAAAACACTGTCAGTCACACCCAATGCAGTCTCAATGATTGGATCAATGATGTAATCCATGTAACCCTCCATTGTAGAGTTAAAGAACCGGAAACCAGCCGGAAAAATACTCTTCTGGAGGAACCTGGCAGACCAGAGAAGTATGTGATATACTTAGTTTGCATCATGTCGAACAAAACAGCAATGGGATGCATGGATGTCACTACTTACTCGACAACCTTCACTCTAAGGTATTTGCAGTTCTCGGCTGTTTGGAAATCCCTGTACCCACCTCTGGCCTCAATACGGACTGCCAAATTTGGCCTGTCCCGCTATCAGTTCCAGTGCAACTCTTCTCGTTTTCTTGCAACCGGGCTTCATAAAGATTGTGGAAGATTCTTTCCATGGCATGGGGTGACACAATTTTGTTCAGATCCTCCATTTTCTTTCTCAAATCTGCAGTGCCTCGTCCTTCGCTCAAATCCTTTATCCTGCAGCGATAAACTTGAGCTTGATAAGCCCAATAATTGCCTCCACTCTCACCGAGCAAGAAACACATTTTACAGAAGTTACTGGATTAACAGTCAGCCCTACTTAGTGATTCCCTCGGTCATCCACAGTAGAGCCAAGGTGTGGAGGCTTGTAGTTCGATCCCCAGTCAAGTACTGTACTTCTGGTAGTAGTATGGGATTCTCACTTCCACCTCCACAAAACTCACATGTCGGCATGGCGCTAGTAAGTATGCTCTAGTTCAATAGCCCATAAGTACTCTCATGCATTCTACAAGTCTGTGGTTCCTACACTACAGGGCTAGAGAGTCCCGACACATAATTAGCAAGGTTGCCCCGTGATTAACCCCCTGCTCCGATAGCATCCACACAGTTCCGGGGAAGTGTAGTCTTAATTCCTCGTAACTCGTACCACAATCTTTGTTAAGACTTGGGGGGAGAAGTTCACCTCCAATCGGTGAGATCAGTCAAGTCTCACTCATAAATAGTATATGACGTTCTGCTTAGATAATACCGTAGACTATGGGGGAGTACCCTTCGCCAGATATCTAGTGACCAACATCTAAGTCCTTCAGAATGGCTCTCTATGCAACAGTTCGTGAGTTAAGAGAAGAACACGTACTAGTATGCCCAACTTCCGTACTAGTACTCGACAGTCAGTTCGCCCGAAGAACACAGTCTTCACCACGTATGTAAATATCACTCGCAAACACTCGTTCCACCATAGTCCCAGGAATTCTTCACCGTTCCTGGGGGAGTGAATACTGCATAGTGAAAGCGTTACAGTTCCTCCCACGACTCAGAGTATCCGTGAGTAGATTGGGTCATGTTTTATGAGTCAACACGATGGAACAGAGAACGCTGGCAAGAACACGTTCTCAACGAAACCAAAGGACACGGTAAATTGGAGTATTCGACAGGAGTAAAGCATCCTGCCAACGAACCGTTTCCCGCAAATACCACGTTGACTTCCGTATCAACTACCACGATGTATTGATCCAACACGCTACAACTAGCGTTACTGATCGCATCAATCAAAGCTCACAACACAGATTATGAATTACTAAGAAGCGAACTTTGCATTTACCTTGCACTCGTCTTGAATAGTTGCAGTTGATCTCGTCGGGTGGTAGCTACCTCTACAAGATCCCTCTATTCAAGTAGTATTTCCCCACGTTAGTAGATTAACTAGTCGCAGTTACGCACTGCCACACCTTCATCAAGATGGCCGATGAAGCAGCCAAGCTCAAGCATGTCCTATGCACCCTATGCGGCGAAGATGCTTCCACCCCAGGGTACACTGCATCTCAACATGCGCATCGCACTGTCTGAACAAGGAATCGACGGAATGGATGGATCTCCTACTTCTCACACCAAAGATGAATTATGGATCTCCAAGCTTCCAACGACACCAACGGCAATGCAGACCAGTACTCTCAACAGGAAGAAACTACTGCTCGCGCGATACAGATGTATCACAATTGGTCGTCCAGGAGGAAGGCACCCATCCGCGTCGTAACACTACGGCCGACGCACTCGACGCTTTCAGAGTTGGCTCTTCCAGCCACACGGCGAAATCGTCCATGCAACAAATGAGACGCAGCGATGCACGATGACCGATGGGGAACGTGCAATCGCACTTTGGAAAGAACAATAAGCCCGTCCGCTCAAAGTTCAGAGAGTTTCGCGATGAATCAGTCTTCATCAAATGGAGGAAGAATTTTCTCAACACGCTCAAGTCTCAAGGTCTCTCCAACCTCATTGATTCTGATTCACGGTCACAACGTCGAACTAGACGAGAAAAAACGAGAATGGATGTACAAGACCTTCGAAGACATCTTCCTAAAGCACAGGCAAGATCTGTCGTCCTTGCCAACGAAACCAGCAGGACAACTCGCGCGATCTGGAAGGCAATTGACGATATTACTCCAAGTCCATGTTCGCACCCTGCGCTCGGTATAAGATTTCGTGTTATCTCACCTCGCCGATATCGCAGAAGGCACTGGAGAGGGTCCCAAGCTGGTTTCATCTCCAACTTCCTCGAACATTTTCGGCAGTACAATGAGATCAGCGATGAGCCATACACTGAACAACAGGGGCACGTTTCTTGGAACAGCTCAATCTCCAAGGCACCAAATCTCGCTCCCGTACGACGTCTCGCAATGCAGACAAGAAAGCTGCAGGCGACACTCCCAGTATACTCTCGACAGTACCGAGCGGCCCTTTTCGAGCAAGCACAACTCCATGACAATGCAAATCATGCGACTCTACACGCTCTCGAAGCAACGCCCGTCTCGCACTACCAACACGAAATTCCTTTCGAGATGGTACAGCGGAAACCTGTCGACACCTATGAGGCATTCGCCCATGATATGGTACACCGTGGAAGTCCTATTGCAAGCTCATCAAACAGACACCGTGGTCCAGCAAGGTATGATGAACGCACCACATGGCGGTCGTTGTCCAAGTCGGATCAAGAGGCATGGAATAATATCTCCGAGCAGGGCAGAAGAGCATTCTTGATACACGGCTGACCTAGCTGTTCGACGTAGTCACCACAACTCCTGGGCAATCACGCCCTATCCCGCTCAGTCAACCTCTCACGACTCCTCGACGTGGGCAGCACCACGCCAGAGCAGGCAACATAGAAGTGTCCTCGCACAAAACAAGTCCAACAAGACGGACACTGACCTATTGCAGCTCGCGTGCAACAAGAGCATTCAACGCCAACGTCCTTGCGGTGATATCGCGTCGTCCTATCACAGTCGACCATTACGGCTACACGCGAGGTACGATTCAACGAGGTTGATCGCTCTCCATACGAGTCTACTCCACGAGATGTTGTTCAGCGGAGCAGGGATTGACCCTGATTGGCAACCTTCGTATATTTCTCTGATGATCCGAGGACAGCTAAACACAAAACTCTCGTGCGATACGACGACACAATTGAACCTCCTCGACGTACCCAAACGATGCGGATCCTCCAATCCCGCACTCGATGATGGATGAAACAATCCTTCCTTCCGAATGATCAGGCTTCCTCACAGTTTGCTTACGGAACTCCCAATACGATGCTATTGTATACGAATCCAACAGCAAATACAAGAGGATATGAAGGGTACCAAACCTTCGAACCGCAAGTTTGTGCGATGAACCCATCGATCTCTGGACACGTCGGCGCTCTCCTCAGCCATGGAAGCACAGCTAGAACCTACTGACACCTCCTGTGATTGGCACACTCATGGCTCCACCAAACCATCAGTTCAGCAACCTGGAGATACTACTCTTCTTCGTCAACGCTAAGCTGCCACCAAGCTTGCAGCACAGTTCTTGGCCAACCTTACAGCGGGAAGAAGTACCCGTCACAGAAGCACCTATTGCGGAGAAACCCGCTGTTGAACCGGATTCGCTAGCGCTCCAACCGATATTCCCAACTCCAAACTCGACCCTTCTTCCGATGTTGGAGCCGATATCGACACTGACCTCAGTTTCGCGACACCAAACGAGGCTGACTTCCCGGAAGACCCATCCATGCGCCACATCAAAGGCACCCATGGAATCCGCAAGGCTGTCCGACAACGCCGAGTGCTCAGACAGACTCCTGCTGCGCTCGCACCTGCAACAGCAATGGCATCCTCTGCCGCGGTCCCTACAACCACGCCGGTCTCCGACGGCACTCCAGATTCCTCTGGGTTTGTTACTGTCACCTCTTCCAAATCTCGAGGCCGAAAGGGCAAGTCCAAAAAGAAGGAACCGTCCAAGACGACCACAGGCACCCTTGGATCAATCTGCAACCTCATGTCACCGCCCGGTTACAGACAGGACCTGCTCTCATGCAGCAGCCAATCTGAATCCAGGAGCTCCGACAGTTCCTACCGCCCCTCCGATGTATCACAACAGTATCACACTGGAGATGCATCCAACTCCTTCGCTGCTCTTCAAGACTCCGACGACGAGCAGGATTTTTCATCAGGCCGGAACAGACACTATCTCTCTCTTTTCCCCTCTCTCCC